TTTGTCTCAATATATTAAGATTTGTGGGTCCATCTTAAAAGGTCAACCTTATTAAGAGGAGTAGCCCAAAATCTTTATTAATTGGTCTGTGTCAACATCTTTATTCGATGTGGGATTATATCCCTTAACACCATATTCTAAGACTAATTTTTTAAACTCATTTTCAACCATATATTTCATAAAATCCGCAACTTTATTTCTATAAGCTTTTATCTAAATTTACAAAAAAATAAAATTTCTACAAAATTGTTCTTCATACAAAAAGGTAAATTTCTTTTTCGTCGTTTATACTAAATAATTGACATACAAAGGCTCGCAAATGGATGATTTAATGGTCTTTAGCGGACAAGTGATGCTTTTAATGGAGCGATCAACGTAAAGGTTGGAGCAAAAGTGATGGTAAGTGCATCCATTATAATGATTGATATTCTAATTAAATAAGCGGAATAGAGCGGGGAGGGTTCAAGCCTTCTCGCTTAAAGAAACCGCGTGGGTGAATATTACTTGCCACAACATCAACATCAATGTCAACGTCAATTTCATCCTTTTAGCACTTTCATCGGCCGAAAATATGGGTTAGCTGTCGTTTAGTGTATGTTATCGAGAGTTTATTTTTAATTAAGAATAAAATAATTTAGTGATTAACGAAATTAGGATTGTACAAAACTCTCGAACCGAATCGGATCGAACCGGGCCCGAACTGAATTGAGCTATTCTTTTTAAGTTAAATACTCGTACGAGTATTTGAATCGAGAACCGACGGATTTGGTTCGATTCTCGGTTCTAGACAAGAATTGAAGAATCGAATAAGAACCGAATCTCCATAATTTTTTTAACTTTTTAATCTTAAATAAGTCAAATTATTTTATTTTTTTCTAAATAAATTTGCTAACTAATTAATTTAGTCCAAACCTAAAATATGATTTTCTTATTTCTAATTTCCAGCAAAATCCAATTTAATCAAATTGACCTAAATTTTATCCAAATCTCTTATTCTACAATAGTGCTGTTTCTATTGTTATTGATAAATCAAATTCGAAACTCAACTGCGTCTCTCTTCATTATTGTGAGTTCACCATCTTCCTTTTCATGTATTTTAACTGTCAAATCTATGATTAACTTGACAAAGAGAGGCGCAAAAGATATCACGGGATTGTATTACGTGATTTTGTCAGAGCTAAGATGAACCATGGCATTAATTGAATTAATGTAGTGTTGTTGTAAATATTAAAAAATAATTATTATACTGAAATCGAAAACCAAACTGAATCCGAGCAGTTCCATAATTAAATTTGGAATCGACGATTTCACTTACTAAATACCCAAAAATTCAGGCTTGATTCGATTCTCTTTAAAATTGAATTGAACCAGACCATTTCCAATTCTAAGCGCATTTAAGACCTTTTCTAACCATAATAATAATTTTATTTTTAATTAGGACTATAATAATGATAATGCTATTTAGTTTCACATGAACTGCTATAATAGGTGACATGTTAAATGAAATGTGCAATTAAATGACCCATTTAATTCAACTGATCATTTAAGATGTAACGTTGCACATTTAATAACTTAGTAATTAGGGTGATTCAGAACATTTTTAACCCTCATTAATTTTTTATTTATTCAAATCACAATCAAGATAATTACACTTATCATTTATTGTCGTCACCTAAATTGGGATTGTAATTTCAATGAGACCAGATAACATTACCTTAGGAACGATAAATAAGAATTACATAAAATCACGTTGAGAAAAAAAATTGAATGTATTTTAAACTTACAAATAATAAAATGTCGTACCATAGTCTAATCCATCGGGTAAACCATTGTATACAAGACAAAAATAATAGTGTCATAGGTCAATAAAATGTCGTACCATAGTCTAATCCATCTTGTAAACCATTGTATACAAGACAATAATATTAGTGTCATAGGTCTGTCTGTTGTTTGTAAATGAGGAGAGCTCATAGGGGTCTCCTCGTGTAACAGAAGCTTTCTCTTTTCCATTAGATCCGTCAACAAAATTTCTTGGATCAGATTCAAATATTAAAAACGGGCATTTTCTATTGCCCGAATCGAAATGGGTTTTTAAAATAGTTGCGAGTTTTTGGAAACATTGCCATTTTCATTGTTATTGTCATTAATTTGGGAAATTTTATTTATTGAAAAAAAATTTGAGCATGGATTCATTATCTGGGATGAGCGAAGAGCTTGCGGAGATCGAGGGACAGATTTCTGATATCTTTCGAGCTCTTTCGTGAGTATTTTTAAAATTCTGTTCCTTCCTTTTCAAATGCGCTTGTGTTTTACATATAAATAATGTGTAGTTTTATGTATATATGTATGTTTAACATGTAGTTAATTGCGTGCATATGTTGATCATTTGACTAATTGAAAATGCAGGAATGGATTTCAAAAGTTGGAGAAAATCAAGGACTCCAATAGGCAGAGCAGGCAATTGGAAGAGCTCACGGCCAAGATGCGTGAATGTAAAAGGTATTTGATTCCACACCTATGCGTATACCTATGACCTATGTATGTAACACGACCTCGGCAAGGATGGGTAGTAATTGGTGAAGTCTGTTGTTAATATTCTTTTTATAGTAGAAGATTTAAATGGAGAGGTTGATGGGTGTTAAAAGTTAGACGCTGTAATAAATTTGTAGATATCAGATAAACAGGGCAATTATTGCGAGAAGATTTATGTTTAGTGATCACAGCCAATGAAATAACGTGTATAGAGGTACTTGATTTTAATGAGAACTCCAATTGGGTAGTTCTTTCCTCGGACTAATATGGAAATGGGTTGAAGTTCAATCAAGTTCTAGGGATCAACCTGAAGTGGTATTAGAAGATTTAGGACTCCATGGGAATCCTGACCAAACTCTTGAACATATGATTAAAATGAACTACCTACCCACTCTCAGGCATCTTACTTTCATTTCTGGGCTTCATTTGATCCACTGTCTTCATTAAGATATGAACATCAATCACAACTTCATAACACCAGCTCAATTTAGTTTTAACATAATGGTTAACCATGACTGGAAGGTCATATTAAAAGCAGCTATTGAAGGCAATGGACTATTATGTTACTTGAAGTTTGTTATCATTATTGTTTGAGCTTTACTGAACTTATGGCCACTTTTCATGTTCGGAAATGAACTAGCATCCGCCGTGTGGGAGGTTGAATTAAGTTTATTAGTTCTCAGGTACTTCCCAGTTTAAAACCTACGGTTTATTAACCAGAGAAAGGGACTAATGCAATTTAGTGGAAAATTGTGAAGTACTTATGAATGGATAGTGGAACTATGTTTCAAGTAAGTTAACTGAACTTGTTGTTTAACTTTTACACTTTTTCTTCCACATTGGAAGTTAGGGTTTATGCCTCCCTTCTTAACATCTTACCATCATGTTCCGTTTTTCAGTGAACTCATAGGTTCCATGCCTACTCCCCACTGATTAAGTGAATTTTAATGGAAGAAGGTAAGCGAATTAATGAAATTCAAATCATGATACAAGCAGATTCTTAAGAAGTTTCTAGTCCAGACAAAATCAGTTAGAGTGATTTAGTCAAATCACACCTACATCTACAACCCATGTGTACCCAATAGCCAATTTACTATTAGCACTTTCTTTTTGGCTAGTGGTACTAGATTAAACTATGTTATAACCATTGTTCTTCACAAGAACCAACTGTGCATGCCACTGCAAGACAGTTCACACCATCCATGGTTCTTTTAGGGCATCTCCAATGGAGATCCCAAAACACCATTTTGCACCATAAAATGTAGCACCACACTTTGCACCATTTTGGTGCAAAATGGTTCAAAGTGAATAGTGTTGCACAAAATCAATTTTCCCTTCTCTTTCATTTCCCAAACAAATTGGTTAAGGGTATTTGTGTCATTTTTGTTATATATTTTTTAATACAATAATTTATTATTGTTATTATAATTAATAATAATATTATTATTATGTGCATTTATAATAGATTTAATAATATATCAATAAAAATTGAGGAATAAAAATTTAGTAATTATTTTCGTTAATTTAATGTAATTATTTATAATAAATTTTAATAATATAATTAATCATTTTCGTCAATTTAATGTAATATATAAAACAAGTGAATAATTTAGTAATCAATAATAATTCAATATTTTCGTTAATTTAAGGTAATTATTTATTTTGTAATTTATGTAATTGTAAAATAAATAAATAAATAATTTTTCAAATAAATAAATTGTTAAGAATTGAAAAAATGAAGAAAATGATTAAACATTGTTCATTTGGTGTAAGTTTTGGAGGAATGAGTTGTAGATGATTTTTAGTTCGATGCAAGATTTGGTGTAAAATAACACAAAACTTACTTGAAATTTTGGTGCAGCGTTGGAGATTGTTGCTTTTGCCAGTGAATAATGTACTTTATAATCCTAAACATGCTAATTAGTGACTGAACATTTAGTATCTTTGGTGAAACATGAGTGCGTAGCTCTTTCTCAGTGCAGAACTTTCATATATTTCTTATATATGAGTTCAAGAATGATGTCTTAAATAAAGAAATCTTCCCTACGTTTCCACACGAAATAAGAATACTGGGGGCTTGTTTGAGCCCCATTCATTGCCAAAAATGCACTTTGGAATAGTTTTCATGGAGAATGTGTGATTAAAAACTAAGGAAATTTTTTGAGTTTGCGTGTGATATTATTTTATTGAGAATGTGTGGTTGAAAGTAATAGAGAGAAAAATGTATTTTGTAAATAATGAGGACCAAACAAGGGTTAGGTTTGAAAAACCAGAATTTTTGGCAAGGGGAAATTCTGCAATGGTCACAACAGGTTAATCTTATGATTTATTTGCAACTCTGTTGAACTCATTGGAGACCAAGTATCGGCCGCTATATAGTTGTATAAGGCACAATAGTTAAATCTCTCTCTCACACACACACCTGGTTTGACCTCAATCTTGATCCTTACCCTTTTTTGCCCGAGTTTTGATGCCTGATGAATCTTACATGTGGATAAATGCTTCCACTTGAGACATGTACCAGGTTTCCTGAAACATGTTTGTTTTTAACTCAACAGCACTTAAACTTGACAAATTCCTTTCTCAAAAGAAATATCTCTACTTTCTGAATTGGTTTATGTATTTTACTAATCAATAGCAGTCCATAACAATGTTCTCTGTATATATTCAGTTAGACTTGCTGTGCTTTATGGTACTAAGTGTTGGGTTGTTAAGGAAAAATTGAAAGAGCATAAACATAATGGATAAGATAAGAATGAGACGTGATGTGATGTGATCATAATAGGATGGATAAGTTAAGAAACGAGGATCTCCACCAAGTATAGGTGGCACGGATTGAAGATAAATAAAGGAAAGACAACTTTTTGTACTTGAGAACGACTTGTGTAGATCTGAAGATTTCTCGTTTACAAGAGTGATGAGATCTCTGTAGCACAGGTCCTAGACAGTAATTAATATGACTTTTGTAGTGGCGAAGCATCTAATCTTATTGAATCTTAGAGTGTGTTTGGTAGGGATTTTTGGGGGAAGAATTGATTTTTGAATAGCGATATGATGGGAAATGTGTGATTGAAAAAGAAGAAAAAATTATTGATGGTGATGAAAAATATTATTTTATTGAAGAATGTGTGGTTGAAAATGAGAATTGATTTACTGTAAAAAATGAGAATCTGTACCAAACAGACTCTTAGATTAGTTGTAGTGATGAATCAAATGGAAAGTCTGGGAGCTGTTGCACATGTAAATAATAATTTCACAGGGACGAAATAATTAGTTCGGTTTATACATTGCAGTTTAGGATTTAAGAGTCAAATTTCATTAACTGACATTTGTAATTTAACAGGTGAACGGTTTAAGAAATTTCTTTGGCTGAGAGGGGAGACAAAAGTTTTTTTTTTTTTTAATGGATTATTAGCACATAACGTCCACACCTTTCATTGTTATTGTGGAAAATATCCATACCTTTCATTTTTTGGCATTTTCACCATTATTTCCATATTTCATTGCGCAAAAAGTCATTTTCACCTATTTTTTCAATTAACAATTATGAAATGACGAATATACACCTCTCTTTAAATAAAACAAAAAGAAAAAAAATTAATTGCAACCACAGTCCCAATTTTTCTTTTTAAAAGTGCAAATAAGTCACAAATAAATTATTAAAAGGGTAATTAGTACATAATGTCAATATCTTTCATCGTTATTGCGAAAAAGTCCATACCTTTCATTTTTTTGGCATTTTCACCCTTAATTACATATTTGATTGTGCAAACCATCATTTCTATCCAATTTCATCTAATTTTTCAATAAAAATCTGTGAAATGACGAATATACCCTCCTATTTAAATAAAAAATATTTTTTTTATTTCTAATTCTTTAATAATTTATTTGGGACTCGTTTGCATTTTTTATTTTTTTTTATTTTTTTTTAATTTTAAAATAAATTTAATTAAGACTCGTTTGCACTTAATTTTTTTTTTTTAATAATTTATTAGGAACTTGTTTATACTTTTTAAAAAAAATTGGGACTATGATTGCAATTAATTCTTTAGCATTTTATTTAAATATGGGTATATTCGTCATTTCATAACTTTTATTGAGAAATTGGATGAAAATAGATAGAAATGATTGCACAATCAAATGTGTAATTAAGGGTGAAAATGTTAAAAAAATAAAAGGTATTTTCGCAATAACGGTGAAAGATAGAGATATTATGTACTAATTACTCTTCTAATAATTTATTTGTCACTTATTCGTGCTTTTTAAATAAAATTAGGACTGTGGTTGCAATTAGTTTTTTCTTTTCTTTTTGTTTTATTCAAAGAGGGGTATATTCATCATTTCATAATTTTTAATTGAGAAAATGACCTTTTGCGCAATGAAAGGTGGAGATAAGGGTGAAAATGCCAAAAAATGAAATGTATAACGTTTTCCACAATAACAATGAAAGGTGGAGACGTTATGTGCTAATTACCTTTTTTTACATCTCTAAATACTGGATTTCTTGTAAGTATGAATAGATGGCTAGATGCTAGTAGTTATGGGAAGGATGTATTACTATTACTTGCATATGGGCTAGTGCTTCATCTTGTAGGTTCAATCCGATCAAAGTTCATAATAAAAAGCAAGAAAATTAATTGTCATTTAAGACTGAAGAGAAATGAGTGCAGATTGGAGGAATTTGTTGTCCTTTCAGTGCCATGAAAAATGAATATACGTCATTGTCTACAACCGTAATAAACCATCAAAGAGGAGTTTTGTACGATGATGCTTCTCTCTATCTTTGTCGCGCGCACACGAAGACACGCGTATTCAAAGAAGAGCTGCACAGTAACCTCTCACTCTCTCCCTCTCCCTCTCCCTCTCCAGGCTTATTAAAGAATTTGACAGAGAATCAAAGGATTTGGAGTATAAAAATGATTCAGGCACAAACAAGATGCTGAGTGAGAAAAAGCAATCAATGGTCAGATTCCTTAAAACTTTAGAATGTTTTATATGCTAGAAATAATTGATTTGTTATTCTCTAATGACTTGTCTACCCTTGTGCAGATTAAAGAGTTGAATTCGTATGTGGCTCTTAAAAAGCAGTAAGTTCCTCGCAGAGTTACCACCTTCCAATTCATAGAGCGTCTTTTTGTTTAACTACTGTGTTAGCTGTCCTGTATTGTGTCTTTCTGTTTTCACTTCCCTGTCTTAATTAGGTCATTTTGTATATCTGTATTGCTTCCACAGTAAAAGAAATTATGTTAGTGAAAGTTCCAAATCAATCATGAAACCTAATTTTCCCATTAATAAACAATATTGTTGTCGTCTTTCTGTGGCTCTTGAATTCTTGTCTTTCTAGCCCCAATAACTTGATGCCCTTGTATTTCATGTCTCCATCCTAACTAGTTAAAGGCTTCATTTGATCTAGTATATGTAAACTTTTAGGTTTTACATAGTTTTATTTATGTGGAAATTTATTTTACTGAAATTGTGATGATGTTCAAGGCACTGAAATGTATGGTTATGCATTTGATCAGTTCAGTTCCGAACATCGTGTTCTTTTTTCTGTGCCCATTTATTTATTTCCTCTCTGAAGTGAATTGCTAACTTAAACTGAGCCAAACTGAACTAATGTCAATTAGGTATCAACAAAATTCTCTTTAGAGTTGCTCTTTTTTTTTCCATTTACATTAAATTTAAAATTTTCTCACTGTAGTATGCAGTGACACACTTCTCTCAACCTACCTGCAAGATGAGTAGGTAGTTTTCTACATAGTGAATCTCTGCATAGTACTAGTTTATATAATTTTAATAAGCTTGATGCCTATGAAAAAAAAACACTGGAACATTATCACTCAGTTGTCCAAGTGAGGGAAAAAGTTTTTTATGAGCAAAAGCATGTAAAGGAGAGAGATCAAATTATGATTTTGAAGGTAGGGGTATGGATAGGCCATTCATTGAAAAAATCAGTAAAAGACATCGTTGAAGAGAAAACGAGCATGTTTGATGATGATCAGATAATGGATGTAGCTTATGAAAATCCGGAATTTCACACACAGAGACTGTGGGAGAGCTGCAGAGGAAGGCTGGGGTTAGGGAATGATAGGATTTGTTCCGTGTTATGGTATTACTTTGGTGAAGTTTTTGATGTTAAGAATTTTTTGTATTATTATTTTAGTGTGATATTTGGTTTGGTCTAGTTTCATTTTGGAAGTGCTTGATTTTCTGAAGCTGAAATTGATTATAACTGAATGGAGTAGACTGTCCAGATTTTTGTACTCGGTCTGATTTCAGTTCATAAACAGATTTTGCTCTCCCCTAGTGTAACATATTTCCTTACAGTTACTTCGCTTGAAACATATACATCAGAGGAACAATGTGATCTAGCTCATGATGGAGCAACCTTAATGACTTCTTAACAAAGTTTAGATACTTGTAAACAGGTTCTTATGATTCAGATGAAGAAAGTCAATGGTTGTTTGCAGTTGCGAAATTTTTAAATTTTCTCATCCGCACTTAAGAAAACGGTCTTCTTTCATTAGTTCATTTAAAAACTCTTCTCAGAAAACAATTCCTTTAAAATCGTAAACTGGAATTCAAACATTTTCATTCAGTGCTTGGCTAACATTCTTCACTGTTAGTTTCTTCCTGATGGGCTAAGCTTGTGAATAATTTTATTGTCATGTTATGCAGTTCCTCATGCAGTTATAACTCATATTTTTCTTAATGATGCTCTAGGTACACGAGCAATCTTGATAACAAGAGAGTAGATCTCTTTGAGGGCCCTGGTGAAGGATTTGCTGAAGAAAATGTCTTGCTCACTTCCAGTAAGCAACCTTCCTCCACAATTCCCATTTCTGCCCACCCACAAACACAAAATAACAATAGAAAAAGAAGAATTGACATTACATTGTGGGTTAAAATGTTTGTAACATATAAGATTATAACTGAATTCATTAGAAAGAGGAAAAGAAAAGGCAAATAGAAAAAGTAATGGTATTTACCATTTCTAATTGTAATGTTTTTGAAGGATGGCTCCAAGGAAGGAGCAGCAAAGATCAAATTATCAGAGGTTAAATCGTATGTTAGTGTGGGTGTGGGAAAGAGATCGTGCCCCTAGTTTTGGTGCCAGCTTCAGGGCGTTTGTTAGATTTTAGAATCTGAGGAAGGCATCAACTTTGGAATGAATTATTTGATTTCACCTGCTTTTCTTCACGTTATAATATTGAAAATGGGTTGATACAATTTTATTTTCTTAAGACTCCATCACTACTTCAATATTGGTAAAAGATGAATATTTTCTTAGCCTCTATTGCTACTTCAATAATTAGCGAATAGATGAGCTAAAGAAAACATATCCCAAGACGCATATTAATGTATAGTTTAGCTTATTGAAATTATTCAGCAACACAATTCCATACATAAAATTAAAATTGTTGAGAAGATTGTAACCTATAGCCACTGGATTTTTTTTTGAAATGCTCTTTATGGTCTATGATTTCATAGCTATAAAGACTACGAAAATATTTTAATTCTCGACATTGCAGCGAAGTTGGCAGGTATAGCAGGAGTTTCCAACAATCGAAGTGATGAAATGCTTATTTGTTTGTTGTAACTTCACCAAATTGTTTTTTTTTTTTTTTTGCTTGAATTCTTGTTCACTACATTTGTTGTCTTTCTAGTTTACTTCTTTTATTTTGTTTTGCAATTTGCTTGAAATCTATGCACAAGTTTTCACCTCATGGTTTACACCAATTAATGGGAGTACGGAATACATTGATGATTTTAAATCCTGGTATATGTCAGTCTGCTGTTACACAATTCACATTTTCGCCACAAATTTTTTTTGCCTGTTCAATTTGTTCTCTTTGGTGAAACTTTCTGTGGATGAACACAATATTGCAGATATGACAAATCAGCAGCTAATGGATCAGGGAAATCAGATGATGGACGAGACTGATCAAGCAATTGAGAGATCAAAAAAGGTAAGTAGATTTCAATGATTAGGATATTTCTAAAATTGCCGAGAATAGTCAATTCGATCACTTATTTGCTAATTGATTTATTGCAAACGAGATATATAATTTCTGTCGCCCTCCTGTGCTAGGGGTATACTGAATGAAGGCATTTACTATGATTTTATGTGAGGGATCTGAGCGTGCTTTCTGGCATTATTGTTTCTAGGGTTTTGTCTGCTCACTATTATTGTTTTTTCGGATACTAGAAAACCTAGTAGTCAAACTCATGGGAATCGAAAATGACATTTTGTACGGGTGAAAATACATGACAAACGCTGGATTCATGCTCTGGAATCTGGGTGTGTTTGAAGACAGTGTGCATTGGATGTAATCCGATATTGCATACAACACAGGCCACAAAACATTTCTTTCTTAGTGAGGTCTGTATAGATGCACCAGGTCTTCATACAAAGAGATGGTTTGATCGTAATTAAGGGGTATTTGGCAATTGACCTAGCATAGTTTTCATTTTCACATACGAATTTGTTTTAAAAATAGAAATAAATAGTAAGTGTGGGACTACAAATAGAAAAAGTTCTAACCATCTCTTTAAAACAAGAGAGACGGAACCTCATTGTGCACTCAAAACCAGTTGCCTCGTTGAAACTTATTTTCTGCTTGGGTTGCTGTCATCGAGTTAAAAAGGTCTGAAATTTGTGCCAATAAAGGAAACAAAGTGCACTAACTTTTGTCCAGCATGATCAAGCTAACACAGAGATTGACTAACGTGCAATTAAAGAAAAAGCTAGAAAGTGGAGAGGAATCAACTTGCGGATGTCCTTTCAAAATGATTGTCGAGCTCCTTTTTTCTGTCTATTCTAAGCAAGTTAGGAATGGAGAACATTTTCAAACTAGCTTGAGGGGGAGTTTTGGAACATTAGGATTTTAAGGTTTCCTTTCCTCCACGATTCTCTGCTAGAATTGTGGGATATTTCATGTAGGGCAGATTTTAGGAAATAGGAAGCTCCTGTTTCCTCTATCTTCCCTTGCAAGAAATGAGAAACCTTATTAAAGTCGTTGCTCGTATCTTTATTTTTTGGAAAAGAAGAAGGCAGCTCATTTTACGAGTGGTTGTTATTTCCTTCTTTACAACTTCAACGATTCTACTTGGTACTAGTTTGTGAGAATAAAAGTCAAATTAGCTTCTCATTTTTCTCTGTAGCTTCCGGACACAATAAGGTCTACACTCTTTGCCTGTTAAAGCCCTTGCAACCTTGCTAGCTGTATTGAGCTATGCTGGATACCCACAGTTCTCGCTGCTAACTGCATTGTACCATTTGCAGTGAGCTGAGCTGGATAACTAGCCAATGAGCACGATTTTGCTCTTGTCAATTGGCCGAAAAAACACACATCTATGTTTCTAAGTAACAATTACTACTGAACAATTGCTTTCTGAACTGGGCCAGGGCATAGTATTCATGGAGATTAATTGTTTTCCATGCGACTAATTGTTTGTACAAGTTGTCAGTTCATATTGATTATCACCTCACCAACATTCTATGAAGTTCAAATGGTTCTTTGACAACTATGGCCAAGTTTCTCCCATTCATTCAGGAAACCCTAGTCACGTTAGGAACTTAGCAAGGTGAAAAGTGAATACTTTAGTTCCAAAGTGCCAATTAATAATGGTTTGTTAGAAAGTTAGTCATATGATATTAATAGTTTCTCCCTCTGCCTGCTCCATCTTTCCTATTATATTTGTTCAGACCCAATTATGAGCAAAATAGTTTGAGCTGGACTCCGTCCATTTATTAAGAAGGGCTCTGCTTGTGTGTGATATATGCATTTTAAGTACCCAGAAGCAAGTCAAAACAAGCCATTATTTTGTATTCCAAGATGTACAATCTACTTTTTTTCATCTGCTGCACCAGATGATATAAGCTGTTCTCTTCAACATTTAAAAGCATGATGTTTAATGTTCACTTTGTGATAGGTTGTCCACGAGACTATCGACGTTGGAACAGAGACTGCTGCAGCACTCAAAGCTCAGGTTGGTAATTTGGAACAAAAAATGGCTCGGATTTAGTGGCAGTGATTAAGATGTGTGACTTGTAACATCAAGTCCCCCCTCTCCCTCCCTTTCTTTCTCTTACTCTCTCTCTCTATGTTATGTGCGCCTAGACTGAACAAATGAGCAGGATAGTTAATGAGCTGGACTCCATCCATTTTTCAATTAAGAAGGCTTCACAGCTGGTCAAGGAAATTGGTAGGCAGGTCAATCTCGAAGATATTCAAATCCCTTTCCTGTCATATGTCTAATGGTTCGTTTTTCTTATTTAGTATCACTTTGATTAATTAATCAGGTTGCAACAGACCGGTGCATTATGGCCCTGCTTTTCCTTATCGTGGTCGGTGTCATAGCCATTATTATTGTAAAGGTTTGTCTATATTTAATATTTATTGTGATCTAGTTTCTACATTCTTTTGCATCTCTGACTTTCTCATAGTGCGGTATGCGTGCTATGCTGTAAACATGTTCCTATGGCTGCTACATATATCTTTTTATCCTTCTCACTCAATTTTTTTGGTCCTTTTCATGGAAATAATCCAATTGCTAGAGACAGATCAATATCCTTTTTCATTCTGTAAGAGAATTTTACACCAAGGAGATTGCATGAATCGTGTTGGTAGCTGTGCAGGTTTCACCATACTGTAGTAGATATTCAATTAGTTTTACGGCTTGAACTCTTATGTGTGCATGCTCACTTCCCACCCCCTACTTGTCAAAAATGCCAAATCAGACTGTTTTTATTGCTCTAGTTGATGTTCAGTCCTAGGAGTCGTGTTGGTTTCAAATGTTATAAATGTGTATTATCATTAGGTTTGTTGATCCCTATTCGTCGTCTGAAGTACAGTTTGTGTTGAATTTTTAGATTGTAAACCCAAATAACAAAGACATTCGAGACATACCAGGACTAGCTCCCCCAGCTCCCAGTCGAAAACTACTTTGGAGCCCTAAGTGAGTGGTGCTACAAGCAAATCACAATACAAGGTTGCACATGACATGCTTTTCTGATTAAATGGCTTCTTTTGCTTGCGACGCTAGTGGAGGCATCTGGCTTTACCAAAAATATATTTTCTGAAGCCATCTGTGGGATTTTGAATGTGGCAGCTACTGAATCTGTATTGCTCTAAAATGATTTGTTTGGGTTTTCATTCTACTAAATATCCTAAAATGTTTTCCCATTTGGATGAGGCAGATATGTTGTATATGTAATATGCATTGTTGGTTATTTATTACATTAGTTCTTACACATGTTTTTCACTCTTTCCTTCTGCCTATTCTTTTCACTCTATGATGGCTTTTAACCTTCACAAGTCATTTTTGCGCATGATTGTTTGTCACTTGCTTTTCACTCTTTAACTAATGGTCAAATGGAAGATATTTAAATTGAGTCTTGGAGACGTACTGATGTATAGTTGGTGATAAACTGAGTGTTGGGATATTGATTTGTCCATAGCTAAGTTTGTTAACAACAATTTGATTCAAATGATCTTCTGAAATTGTTTATGGCCTTGTTGTTTGCTAACCATTTAGCTATTCTCTAATGATTCTGAAGCCTTTGCTAACAATCTTTGAGATTTAGTTGCTGAGCTAAGATGAAAAATTGCCTCCTGTAATGCGAAAAATGAGCTTCCTTGTGATGAACGTCATAGGCAACAGGAACCTATAGAGGGTGATGTGATTATGTTAATAGTTACCCTAAAAATATCGTTAATTACCCGAGCACTTTCCCTTACTCTACTTCAAAAGCTGGAATCAAATGCTCGTTTCTTAACTCGAGTATCGTTTGTTTTATTGCGAAGGCACATTTGAGCCTTCAATTTAGTTTTCTTTTAATATTTATGTAGGAAAATCCTCCACTCCCATTCTTGGTGCTCCTTTTGCTTCTCAAGTGCCAATGTTACTTTGAATTCCTTATTAGATAGAAAGATTGTCCTATTACTGCTGATAATACTTGGATAACAGATGTATCCTTGATTCTATTTTAAAAACAAAATTTGCTCATCAAAGTCGAGCTTTATTCAACACGATGGTGGAGATACTTGGCTTCGTAAAGATCATTGGAAGTTGCGATATTCATATGGAAAGTAACCATTCTATGCACAATGGAAAATCAGTAGTTATCAAGTACATAGAAACAGAGTTTCTTGCATATATAATATGTATTTCAACAATGGTTGTATATGTTGGGAAAACTTGTTACCGTCATAATGATCATTCATGTTGGACCATCAAGAATTCATGAACCAAAGTGGAAGTGAACCTGAATCAAACATGGTTAACATAACGAATGAATTCTGTGGTTTTAGTCTTCCAGATCAACATCTCGTTCCTTTATTTCTCAATTATGATGGGAGTCAAAACAGAATGAATAATCAAGTATGATATGGGGGCCATAACCGTATGTATATACTAACGACCTATTAACCTAATTCGGTCCATCATGAAATTAAGAACGAGCATGATCTCTACACATAAAGGCCCACACTTTAATTGGATGCTTTAAAGTCCAAAATACTGGAACCTTATTAGATCACTTTAAACGGTCTTTACCAAAATTGATAGTCTTTAATTTAATACACAATAATTCACATACATGCTTTTTTTTTTAATAACCGTGGTTATCCGGGCCGGCTTGCGCACACCTCGACTAATTCTGTGGGGCCCTGAAGTTTACGGTCAGGTACTCACCTCAGTGGCCCTGAAGTTTACGGTCAATTGAGCAACCCCTCAAGGTTATTCTGTGGGGAGCAAACTCAGTGCCTGACCAATTGAGCAACCCCTCAAGGTTATTCACATATATGCTCACATGATCGATTAAAAATCCTTACAATCTCCTACTTGGGCTATATGTGTTACCTTACAATTGTGCATTACACATAACTTTATGAGTACTCAAAATTTTAATGCTCTCTATTTTAAAGAGTCAGCATTTAAAATAATGTTCCAAGAGACTCTTTAAATTAACATTTTAATTTAGAGAGTGAGTTTGGAGAGCTAAACTCACTCTCTATAATTAAATGTATTCAAAGTATTTTAATTTGGAGAGCTAAACTCGCTCTCTATAATTAAATGCATTCAAAGTGTTTCAATTTTCAATGTACGAAAACAATAAAATAATCTAAAGAAAAGCTAGTTAAAATAAAAGATAAAGAAAAATAATAATTATTTTTTGGGAGTAGTAAAATTAAGTATTAAATATAAATAGTTTGTTGGAGTACTTCAAAATTTTAACTTTTTAAATTTATAGATGATCTCCAGATGATAGAATATACTCTTTAAAATTAGAGAGTCGCTTGGAGATATTCTTAGTGAGATCATTTTCAAACAAGTTCAGATATAATAAACCAAAAAAACTTTATAACCAAAAATAACTTTAATCATAAACCATATCCAAAATGACAGTGTCTAAAATGAAAAGCACGGAAATACAAACTCCCACTAAAATTAGATATCCTTAAGAGACGTTACACCCATATGAGCAATGCACTCTTGAAAGACCTTGGGTATCAATCCCTTAGTAAGCAAATCTGCAACCATGGAGTTTGTCCTGATATACTCTATTGACATATGTTTACTTTGAACTCTTTCTTTAACAGCCAGTAACTTGATCTCTATATGTTTTGATTTCGTCGAGTTCCTGTTGTTATTGGAATACAGCACTGCTAATTTATTGTCACAAAATAACTTGGGTGGTATTTCTATACTGTCAATAATGCACAGCCCAGTGACAAAATTTCGCGCCATATTCCATGGTTTGATGTCTCATAACGCGCTAGAAACTCCGCTGTCATGGTGGAAGTGGCAATGAGTGTCTACTTAGCACTCTTCAACAAAACAGCACCTCCAGGAAGAAGGTAGATATAGCTTGAAGTGGACCTCTTACTATCTTGGCACCCCGCGAAATCGGAATCAGAATAACCGATGATCTCCAACTGATCCTATCTCCTATATTCTTTTGTTCTCTATAAATATCGCATGACCCGTTTGGCTGCTTTCCAGTGATCTATTCCCATGTTACTTAAATATCTCCTTGACATCCCAACAATGTACGCTATATCTGGATGCATACAAACTTGAGCATACATCATACTCCCTATAGCTGAAGAATAAAGAATCCTTTGCATTTCTTTAATTTCCAAGTCATTTTTGGGGCATTGACTTAAACTGAACTTGTTTCCTTTAACCACAAGGGTGTCACCTAATTTACAATCTTGCATACCATATTTTTTAAGTACCTTTTAATATAAATCTTTTGTGATAATCTAATAATACCCCGAGAACGATTCCGGTGTATCTGAATTCCTAATACAAAATAGGCGTCACCAAGATCTTTCATCTTAAAATTCGTTGCTAGAAATCTGTTGGTTTCATGCAATAAGCATATATCTTTGTTGGCAAATAATATGTTATCAACATATAAAATCAGAAAAATATAATTACTCTCACTAAACTTGTGGTATATACAATTATCGACCAAATTCATCTCAAAACCATATAAGATAATCACTTGATGAAACTTGTAATATCATTGATGAAAGGCTTGTTTGAGTCCATAGATGGATTTCTTTAGTTTATAAACAATTTGCTTTGCACCATCTGACACAAAGTTTTATGATTGCACCATATAGATTATTTCATCAATGTCACCATTGAGAAACATTGTCTTAACATCCATCTGATATAACTCAAGATCGAAATGCACTACTAATGACATTCTAATCCTGAAAGATGTCTTTCGAAAAAATCGAAAAGAGTCTTTATAATTGATGCATTTTTTCTGTGTAAAGCCCTTTGCAACAAGACGAGTCTTATACCTCTCTACATCACCCTTCGAAGCCCTTTTGGTCTTAAATATCCATTTGCAACCAATAAGTTTCGCACCTTCAGAAAATGGAACGATGTCCCACATGTCGTTGTCCTTCATGGACTTTATCTCTTCATTCATAACATTGAGCCACTTTTGAGAGTTAGAACTTTCCATGGCTTGACGGATGTTGATCGGATCATCTTCTACCACTCCTATGTCAACTTCATGTTCTTGGAGAAATACGATGTAATCATCGGAAACCGTAATTTTTCTCTCTAGTGGATCTTTTTAATGGAATTGGTTCTTGAGGGTGTAGAGTTTGTTCTTCTGTAACAAGTTGTTGACTTTCAGAGGGAGATACAACGACATTGTCTTGATCCAAAGTCGCTTCTTGAACAATGTCAGGGATAGAAACCTGATGTTGATCATTGTGAGTTAGAACTTTCCATGGCTTGACGAATGTTGATCGGATCATCTTCCACCACACTTATGTCAACTTCATATTCTTGGAGAAATACGATGTAATCATCCGAAACCGCAATTTTCCTCTCTAGTGGATCTTTTTAATGGAATTAGTTCTTGAGGGTGTAGAGTTTGTTATTCTATAACAAGTTGTTGACCTCCAGAGGGAGATACAACGGCATTGTCTTGATCCAGAGTTGCTTCTTAAACAATTTCAGGGATAGAAACCTGATCCTGATCATTGTCAATGGTAATTGAAAGGATTTCAACGTATTCCTCTTAAAAAACAAAGTTGGTAACCATCCCCCCATCCCCTCGCGCAAATTTAACATTCTCAAAGAATCGAGCATTTTCTATCTCGAAAATTGCCTTAATTGTGGGATCATAAAACTTGTAACCCATGGACCTTTCAGAATATCCAATAAAATAGCAACTGATAGCCATTGTGTCCAGTTTCTTTTCATTTGGCTTATAAGACATTGCCTTAGCTGGACATCCCCAAATGTGTACGTGCTTCAAACTAGGCATCTTGCATGTCCAAAGCTCATAAGGGGTTTTATCAGTGGTCTTAGTTGGAACTTTGTTGAGTATATTAGGGCTGTAAGCAAAAACCGCCAAACCGAAAAATCGAACCGAAACCGCAATTTCGAAACCGGTGGTTTGGTGCCACGTGGACCCG